TTTTGTATGGAATAAGATCATTAATAGTTGTTCGAAATAATCTTACTTGAGATAAGAAGACATACGACAAGAAGGAATAAAAATTTTTTCATGCTTCTGATTGATTGTACGAACGCAATAGAGAAATAGTTGTCTTCTGTTTATCGTTCCGACTACAACTGTCAACAACAGTATTGTGCAGACATTCGTTCTGTCTTTGAACGCCTGTATAGAGACATATGTACGAAAAAAAAGGTCATACAGCGGGTAGTTCTCTTTCTTTTTTTTTGTGCTGTTTGCATGCGATGATTCAATCATTCATATCGATCTATTTCTCGCTTTATATATTGAAGCTTCATCAGTGAACTAAAGGGCAGAATAACGAAAAAAAAGAATTTTTTTTGCATGAGTAAAACTGATGACAGCAGTTTTTTCTGTCTATGAACAACGTGCCTGTTTAGCTCAGTGGTAGAGCGTCGCTCTCGTAAAGCGAAGGTCACAGGTTCAATCCCTGTAGTAGGCATCAAATTTTTTTTTTCTTTTCTGTTCTGCAACTAAACCGACTAACGATTCTTCTATGTGACGAGCAGCATTGAGTTTTTTTTTTTTTTTTTTTTTTGTCAAAAAATATCGAAGAAATACAATGCTTATATTATTTTCAATTGTATGCAGTACAAGAGTTTGAAATAATCTATATTTTAATTATGATATTTTCGTAAAAAGAATGCTTTATTAAAAAGAATTAAATACTATTTTTTTTTTGATTATATCTGACTTTGACGATTTAAAAAAAAAAATTATTGTTATTGTTGTTGTCGAAAATGAATAAGAAGACATTGTAATAATTCGTTGGTAACATTAACTCGTTCGAATTTTGGTAAAGAATTATTCATATGAGATTCAACTTGAAATAAAAATTCTTCTTGTTTAACGTTATTTTCATATGATATTTTCATTGGTTTGATCATGGGAAAAGACTTGATAGCATTAACAGAATGATGTTTTTGTTCAAACATAGCAGCTCTTTTTTGTTTATGACGAGAAATTGATGACTATAAATCATGAAAAAGAAATTTTAATTTAATGATTTTTGGGAAAAAAATTAAATTCTAAATATCATTGTTAGAGTCGTCTATTATCGCAAATATTTATTTTTCACTTTGTAAAATATTATCAGGATTATTTCCTGATTATGAAGACAAAATTCATAAAAAAAAAAACGTTCTGTATATAATGTTTTTTTTTTTGGTGAATTTTGTCTGCGCAATTAGAAATTAATTCTGATAATGGACGACTCTAATTATGATATTTAGAATTTAGTCATTTGCTAAAGTTTTAAATTTTCTACATGTTACTAACATTTTCTTGTTCAGTATATTTATATTCTGGTTGATTATATATAAATGATGTTTGTTTAGTATTGATCTTATTCTTCTTTGTACGTTGTTGTTGAACAAATTTAAATATATGTTCAGTTTTATGATCAACAATAGGATGAATATATCCATCTGATGAACGATATAAAATATCAGTTAATGAATTAAGAAAATCTGTTATTGTTGAATAACCGAAAATTTCATAAGGTAATAAACGTTTTGAATTAAATAAAGAATAATCATGACATAATTCATCTTCAGTAAGACCATTTTTTGATGAAATAAGTAAAGAACGAATTTCAATTTTAATTTCATTTAATAATAATAATGTCATTGTTTAAATTTTAGAAAATCTTTTCCTTTTGATTGTGTATATATACGTATATCATTCAATAAAAGATAGTTATAATAGAACGAATAGAAAGAAAAGAATTCGAATTACTTGAAGACAGATGTCACTTACAAAAAGAAATCGAATATATAACGCGTGAGATTATTGTAGTATCATAAGTTAGAATGTCGGCCATTTCGAAATTCTAATTATTTTATACATCGGATAGAAATCACTACCGCTCTAGATCAAAGATACGAGTCGTTTTCGATCGGAAAAATGGCAGGAACTTGGAAGCAGAAATTCACTGTCCGGAAAGTCATCGGAAAATCCGGAGACTTTCTATTTCGGAAGTTTGGCTCTAATTTCCATCGATGTTCGATGTTTTCTACTGAAATCAACATAGCTCTATTAATAGTTTTTAAAATATCTTTGGAATCGTTGATCTAATAATAGTATACTATATAGTTTGTATAATTATTTTAGCGTATCTGTCACAGTGATAAAATACCACTGAAAATACGTCAACTATTGAAAGAAAACTCATCCATTATGGGAAAAATCTCGCTTTTAACAGGGGGACATAACTCAAAGCAATAGTGATTATAAAAGTGCACGTCGAAGTATTTAAACATTCATTTTCTGAAAAAGTGATTTTTTTTAACAATGCAAAGTTTTTTCAGTGTCCTTAACCATGTTTTTAGCTATTTTGTAACTTCTGCTTCCATTATATTGAGAAAAATATACATAGTTTATCGCTGGTGCAGTTCTACATTGATCTCTTTGATTTTATTATAGGATCTAAAAGGAGTTTTGAAGTATAAACGGTGTTTCATAAATTTTGGTCTCCAATGAAAATTAGTTTATATGCAAACAAATAGTAATCCGTATCCAATTACATCTATATGAACTTCGAATACTTAGAACAATATTTTAAATGACATTATCTTTTTTAATAATAATGATATAAACATGATAATTATGGTGGAGATACAGAGAATACTCTCATCCGTACTCTAGATACTACTTATCGCTCTGGATAAGTGTATTACTTTGCATAGGATGAATTCAAAATTCATTGGAACTTCGTAAAAAACTACTAGTCAATTTCGAGATTTTAATTATCATATTTCTTCTTTTTGTGTACTCAAAAAGTGAGTACACTCTAGAATCGGTCAGTATGTCCGTCCGGCCGGCCGTTTACACGATAACTTTTGAAAAGAGAGTCCAATCGCAATGAAATTTTCCACACAGTTCAGTCTTAACAATGTCTCGATCGAGTTCGAAGATGAGCAGGATCCGTCAAGAAATGGCTGAGTTATCGAAAAAATTGTCATTATTGANCATAGAATTTCTCAAAAAAACAATTTTTTTCTCCGAATTATTCACAACATATATAAATCGGCTCAGTTTTTAACGCTGATTCCGGATCTGATATTAGTTTTGAACCAAATCGTAGCTTTCTAACAAAACATCCCCTGAAAAAGGTCTCAAGATGCAGAAAAACTGCTTGAAGAAAGCAAATTGACTAGATATGTCTCAGATGATAAAAAAACAAAGTGAATATACCTGTTCACTTTTTGAAGTACACATAGCACTCGGATTTAAATCCGATGTTTTCGCATTTATTATATCACTATTATTAAATGAGATAATATCATTTAAAACATCATGTTGAATGCTTCAAGCTTATATAAATATAGTTGCGTAGGGATTCATTTTTGTTTATAAATAAACTAATTTTCGTTGAGGTTCAAAACTTATGGGGCATCGTTTGTAGGGTAAAGATTTGCATCCACACACCCTCCCATAGACAAATATTATCAAGAAGACATCACAAATCATAACGAATGTTTTTGATATACAATCACACACCACATATCAGTAATGTCTCATTATGATAGATGAACTACTTCGTTGCTACATTTTCCAAAGGAATGAGTAAAATGATAGTGAAGAAATGTATCTCAAAATAGATAGCACAAAAATATTCCTTTACGATTAACAAAAGCAACTTCGCCCTGTTTTTACATATTTTAATCTCGCAAGAAAAACACTAATAACTCTATAATTAAAGTTAATCGTTTTTGAAGAACTATTATATACAAAATAAAGCTTTAACGGGGATTAAATGACACTGAGAAATAACTTATGTAAATCATTTGCATTGTTTCGAAAGAATTTTTGAAACCCCTTGTATATGAAATTAAGATGATATTTCAAAAGTAAATTTTAGTTAACTTTTAATCGGATGTAAAAATTAGAATTCACTCTATTAGACTTTCTCTATTTATTATACTTACAATACTCTTTGACTCTATAGCATGTTTAAAGATCCTCGAATTTATACACCTCATTTCTTTTGTGTGTTAGTTTTTCAAGCACTTTTGTTCAATTTTCTCCACAAAAATTGAATTTAATTGTAATAAAAAGGAACAAAAAAAAAGAAAAGATCTGCATTACTATTCATTAAAATATCTTCTAAACTTTTGTTTTTTTTGTCAATAGAATATCAATGTGTGTATATAATCGAGATTCGTGCCATATGTACTTTAGAGCAAAAAACAAGTCATGATTAATTTAGTGTTTGGTTCTATTCATCAGTTTTGTTTTTGTAAGTTATGATTCATGTTTTATTGAATTTTTCTTTACCTTTATTTCCTGTGAATAAATATTGGTCTGGAGAAAAAAAATAAAAAATAATTTATTTTTCTTTCATATAAGCTTTATGTTCGTTATTTATTAGGGATCATAATATATTTAAAAAATTGAGTTAGCTAGAAACTTGATAGATGGATTACATTCGTGTCTTTATTTACGAATAGTATTTGAAGCAAGTTGAAAAGGAAAAAACATCAACACAATACAAAAGGAGGTAGAATGGTTGGTAAATATCAGAAGAAATAGAGAGGTTTACCATGCGAGAGTGTCATGCGTTTGTTATAATCCAGATGCTAAAGTTAATATAAGCCTAGTCTTTTAGGATAAATCCGAGATGCCATCTTGCCTTCTTTTATGTTAATTGGTTTTGAGTCGTTGATAATAATTATTTAGAATAGCTTAACAATAAAAACATATCAATCTGCTTTCAAACAAAAATAATATATCTAAATTTCTATCTCAATAAATTCATCTATAAAAATTCAACTTATTGTCATTGAAAACATATTATTGATTTTTAAGTATCATTGGATATTTATTCAACTTGTATTTTTTGTTCTTTTTTTTTACTTTACACATAATTTTCAAGAAATTATTATCACAAAAAAGAATAAATGTTTATTATAATGAGATATTTAATCATGACCAAAACATATACCAAGACAAGCAAATAAATATATCACAACATAAATTCCACATGTAATTACCATTCCAACAGCACAACCAAGTTGAGCTTGAATTAATTTTAATTTATCATATGGAGTCACTGGACATACTTTTGATGATATTGTACCTTGCACTATAGCTTGACCACATTCTTCAAAAACAGCTGAATAATTACTACGTAATGATTCAATACCACGAACTGCACAACATAATTGATCACCCAAATAACATTTACAAAGATTGTTAATAAAAATTTGATCAAAATATATTATAACACAAGCCAATACACCACTGAGTACTAAAAAAAGAAAATAGAATAATAATTTAAATTTAATAATTATCTTTATTTACTAGTCCATAGAAGAACATATGTGGCACAGCAACGCCCCCGACAACAACAAGCTAAAAACAAAAAAAAAGAAAATATAAAATAAATATATATTTATAAAATAAAATAACAAACTGATAAATAGCATTAAAAGTAATGTCTTAATAAAAACAATACCAGCCCAAAATCCAACCCAAATCGTTCCATGTGCAAGATCTATATAAGCTGAACCAACTTCTAAGCCAATAATTGCAGCAGTTAAGAGAAGCTGAACAACACCTATAATTGCTGAACTCCATCGAGGAAAGCGTTCTGAAAAACCCATTAATATACGCTTTTTTTGCTTTTTTTTCTACTGTGAAAAATCAACCGTAGAACAAGTAAACAATCTAAATGCAATGAAGTTTTACAGTTAGTGTCGGTGTTTTTATATATTTAAGATGTTTTTCAGGAGAAAAAACATTGAAATATGCTGTAAAACGTTTTCTTCTTCAGAAAGAAAGAACGGAATGACACCTATGTAAAAAAAAAAAAAGAATAACGGAAGCGAAGTGGCCGATTCTTTCGCACGATAGTCAACATGAGAGAAAAAAAAGAATATTGGTCGATGATGACGATTCGTCCTAACATAATCGTATTTTTTTCTGTCTTTCTCGTCAAGAAATACGTTTATTCTTTCCCACCTTTCACGTAAACTCTAACGTTGCCAGGAGCACAGCTGCTTCTTGCTTTGCTACATTATTAATGTTTTCAAATGACTCACAGTAAAAGTAATAGTAAAAATCTAATTCTTTCATTGTTAGCAACAGCAAAAAATTTCCTTGATTTTTCTCTCAAATTTTATTAATACACAAGTAGACAAAAAAAAAAACTTTTCTTTTTATGATGAGCTTGTGGGTGGTCTTGTATGCCCATCAAGTATATATACATCATTTTTTTAAATTAATTCACATATTTCACAATTATCATATGCTTTCAATCTATTGAAATCATCAACAGTCCAATGAAAATAACGCATTAGAAATAAACGTAAGAATAATTCATGCGATACAATCAGTATATTTTGTGTTGGATCATGATGTCCATTATCCATTTCACGAAATAATGTATCAAGAAATAATGATGCACGATCATATACATCAGCACCACTTTCACCACATGAAAAACGACAAAAAAAATGTCCTAAACGATCATGTTCTTTCAATACTTGTGATCGTGTTTTTAAATCAGTTAAATTACCAAATTCTTGTTCACGTAAACGTGGATCTTCACGTTCACTTATAATTTGTAATGATGAAAATGATTTTTGTATAAATGACCAAGTTTGTTTTGAACGTTTATTTATATGGACTCATATAAACAGAAACTGATTCTTTACCAATTAATGAATGTAATTTTTTACCAGCTTCAAGAGCTTGTTCACAACCTTTTTCAGTTAATTCAATATCATGATCAGCCATACGAGCATATAAAGCTATTTACCAAAATAAAATCAATTGAATATAAAAGACAAAAAAAGAGTTATTTTACTTCTGTCAACATTTGCTTGAGACTGACCATGTCGAACAAGAAAAATACGTCCTGGACGTTGACAACGACGAAGTCTTTTGTGCCGAATATAAAGATAGCTTAATAGAAAATCAAGACTAGCATCGAAAATTCCACAAACATATGGACAAATCAAACCAAGGCGAAATTAAAAAAGACAGGTTAATAATGTTTTCATTGTATTCTATAAGTACATATGGATAAAATATTGTACACAATAATGTATAATGAAGAGTCCGCACTTTATTATCAGTAAGCATGTGCAAAGGAAAGAGAAAATCGTAATATATAATTGCGTTAAAATGATTAATTTTTATAATGCTGTAATCTATAAATTGTATTGTGCATTGAATCAAACGATACAAAAATAATCATATTATCGTAAGAATAAAATGCTTTGAAGTCTATAAACCACTTGTTATTTATAAAAAAAAAATTATTAATATCCATTTCAAAAAAGAAAAAGTATTAGTATTTTTGGAATAACTATTGATAGAAAGCTGTGATTAACCCTGTTTAGAAGAGAAGATGAAAATGCATTCAATCGTGTATACTAGACTTTTCTAACAAGTTTTCTCACAATTTACTATCAAGTTTGTTAAAAAGAAAACATTGGTTAATGTAAAAGTTTTACGATTTCAATATTCAGGAATGTACTAGAATTATTAACTGAAGATCTATAAATTATGTAAGTTCAATTTTGTGACGTTTAGCCAATCATGAGTTATATACATTTTACTGCATCTTATTGGCAGATTTTTTTATAAAAATTCACTCTTTTTCTCATTAATAACTTTGAATGTAATATTTCTATGGAAAGAAAATTAAAAAAAACCGATATAATGTTCGATTAGGTAAAATAGAAAATATTCAATCAAATGTTCTCATTCGATAAAATAAGATAATCTTTATATTTCAAATTATGTACAAAAAACATAATAATCAATATATGACATGATTTTCTATTAATTAATAATCAGGCTCTGATTCATTTTATTAAAACGATTTAGAATGTATCATATTTTTTTTACTCGATTTTTAAATATAGTTTGTTCTTTTCCTTGTGTATACCTTTGAAAAGCTAACAGATACGCATAGTTAATTTTTTTTTCTTGTTTACGTGGTGTGTGTTGATTTGGCTATTTATCAAATACCCTCATTACTTCAGACGCATTTCGATCCAGGGCAACAAAAAACACATAATGAAAGAATAATGACATTTTAACTGCTGTCATACTTGTATATAAATATGAATGATTCGTTGGATGTTTTTTTAACTTTATTAATATAAATTTCTGTTTTAAACGAAACAAAAAACAAGTAAGTTTAGGCTTTATTTATATTTTCGAAAGAATCTCATTTATAAAATATGAATAAAGAATTTTTTAAATATTGCTTGTTGTGTTAAATGTAATTAACTAGTGAAGAAAAAAAGTCTTTTATGTTCAAATCATTTTNGGACACCGTACGCTGTTCTAAATATCGAATTAGAACGACTACCAATTGTTCATCATCAGCAATATGCATTAAAATCGAGTGAACATGGTAATGATGATTCTTTTTGTCAGCATAAAATTTGACTAAGTTCTGTTTTGTTACATTGTAGTCGAAGTTCCATTGACAATCGACGATGAAGTCATTGAAATAGTCGAACAAGATTACGGTTTAATATGTCCATCATCGGGAAAACTTGTACCACTTAAATCATTTCATATTCGTGCTCAAATTGTTGATGCCACCGTTGAAGTAACTATACATATATATCATTCCATTAATTCATTATGTTGCTTTTTAATGAAAAGGTTATTCTCTATCAAGTCTATCATAATACAAACTCGACGCCGATCGAAGCTAAATATGTGTTTCCTCTTGATGAAAATTCAACTGTATGTGGCTTTGAAGCACATATTAATAATAAAGTTATTAAAGGTGTTGTCAAAGAGAAAGAACAAGCCAAACAAGAATATCGAGAAGCAATCGAAAAAGGTCACGGTGCTTATTTGATGCATCAAGAACAAGCTCAAGTGTTTAGTGTAGCTGTTGGTAATTTACCAGCAAACAATGAAGTCATCATCAAAATAACCTATGTGGCTGAATTAGAAATCGAAAATGGTGATATTATCTTTCGTCTTCCAGCCAAAATGGCTTCATGGCAATCAAAACAAGCAATCGAAACCAAGGATCAATCGATTGTAAAATCGATCGGTATTGTCGATGAACAAGTTGAATTCAGTTTTAGAGCATCAATTCGAATGCCCTATGAAATAATAAAACTATTTTCGCCAACACATCGTCTTCGTCGAAAATTAACCGATTGTATAGCTATGATCGAACTTGTTGATAACGTCTTAATTGATCGAGATTTTGTTCTTTCGATAACACTCAAAAGTGCTAATTTACCTCGAATATCAAATGAAACATTATCATTGAATGATGAGAATGGAACAACAACATTGAACAAGTATGATTCTCAAGCATGTATGCTTACGTTTTATCCACGATTTGAAACATTGACGAATTCAAATGAACAAATTGAAATTATTTTTATTGTCGATGTATCTAATTCGATGGATGGTAGTCATGTTCAACAAGCTAAGCAATTAGCTCATTTATTTCTTATGAATTTAAAAGTTGACGATGAAAATACATATTTTAGTGTCATTACTTTTGGATCAGGTAATACGATGGTGCTCTATAGCCTTATTCTATTGTTCAATTTGAATTATTTAGATAATGATGAATGTTTTCCGATTTCAACACCAACCACAAAAGAGAATCTTGATAAAGCCAAACATTTTGTACTGGTTAGTAGTCTATTTGCACTGGGAGATTTTTCTTCCTAAAACGAATATTTTCATATATTATAGCATTCACTTATTCATCGTGGTAATACGGATCTATTTGCTGTTCTTCATCGTTATTCGTTATTACCTTCGTTATCTTCATCGAAATTGGGTCGTCAATTTATTCTTCTATCCGATGGACATATTCATGATGTCAACTCGATTCTTGCTCTACTCAAACATCAATCAACTATGCGTCGTGATCGTTTATTTACATGTGCTATTGGTAATGTTGCCAACAAACATGGTTTGAAACAATTAGCGAATGGAGCAAGTGGAGGTGGTCTAACAACAATATTCGATTCGAACTATCGGTCGAGATGGAAAACAAAAGTATTAAATATTCTTGAACATGTCCGACAACCATGTGTTACAAGTATATCGATTGATTGGCATGGCCATCTGGATGAAGAACAAAAATTTAATATTCAAGCACCGAAAATAATTCGATCTTTGTTCAATGGAATGCGACTTAGTGTCTATCGATTCATACAAAATTGTCACAAGGCAACATTGACGGCTACTATTGATGGACACGAATTTGTTACGACTGTATTTAGTAGTACGATGACAACGACTAAAGGACGTATTTTGCATTGTCTAACCGCTCGAGCAATTATTGATGACTATGATAATGGACTAATGTATGTGGACGAAAGCGAAAATGAACTATTCAGAATTCAATATAAACAAGATCTTATTGATCTAAGCATCAAACATTCTGTTATCAGTACATACACTAGTTTTGTTGCCATTGAAGAACGTGATACTAAAACAGATATGCAAACTCTTCGACCAGGTTAGTGAAAAACTGAACTTTTTATGAATAGACTTATGAGTTGATTAATAGCAAGACAGTATGGAAGTTTATCTCTAGGAGTTGAAATTTAGTTTTCACACCTATAACACTTTTTATCTTCGTAAACTATACCGCGCTTTTCAATCCATCTCATAAAAAGTACGTAGGGAAAATATTGATTTTAGCTTTGTACTGTTACTAATCAAGCAAAGATTATACCCGTATAATCCGTGTATTCTTCGTTATAGGCGTTCGTCTTTTGGACGTTATGCTCGGTCGAGATGTTGATTTGCTGCCATGCATGGGATGGGATGGTGATGTATCAAGTTTCGCTTCGATCAAACAGAAATTGATCGATGAACGTATTTCACTTGAAAGTGCATCGATTCAGAGAAAAAAAGAAACGATTGTCGATATTGAAAATCTTTGTGAGAAAATATCCTATAGAGCAGGTGGCGATGCTAAATTTGATATGATGATGACTATCATACGTACATATCGTTATTCATTGAATGAACATGATAAAGCCGATGAACTCGAAAACAAAATGCGAAACGGTATGTTAATTGATCGAGAATAATTTTTCGCAGATGTTGAATTTGAAAAATAAATAGATCTGGAAATTGAAATGATAAGTGCAACGACAGAAGAACGACAATCCTTACAAGAACGATGTCAATCTAACAATATGGTGATCAAAACTGACAAAGAGTACGTAAAAGAAAAGAAAATACTATTCAAAATAAACTTTTGTATTCGTTTTCTTTTAGTGAAGAATTGACTGACTATGTTGGTAAGAAGATTCATAAATGAAACTCGATCATTCAACTTCGGAGATTTCAAACGAGACAGAGATTCTATTGGAAAATTTGAGTTTTTGGTTTGCTTTTATCATAGGATCTAATTACTTCGAGTTCTAGAATACACATCAATTCATTTTTGGATTGAACTCAGAAAATAATGAACAAAAAGCAATTCACAGTCCCATAATATATTTCGTAATGTGTGTATTGATCTTTCGCAAATCTAATCATATGCTTATGGAATTAGATCTCCGAAAGTATTTTGTTCTTAACTTTGTCATTTGTTCATTATGATAAGACATTTTTTGCAATAGATATTTTTCCTTAGAAATAGTTTCTATTAACAGGAAAGTTGGACATTTCAATAATTTTTCTATGATAAGAGTCAATAACAAAGAGAATACATCGATTAAAAGAACATTGAAAACAAATGAAAAACTAACGTTTAAATATTCGTAGCATCATAAACCTGCAGTTCGTAATTGTATAGATCTATGTATGCATGAAATTTAAATCGAACATAAAACATAATGATCCTATGCAAGAGCACCGTAGTAAAGATTTCTAAAACGATTTTTATACTTCTTTTCCATAGATTGGAGTGAGTTCATTCCAGATTTTGCAAAATTAACAGAAACTGAACGAATGCAAAAAATAACTAGAACACTTATGCACCCCGGTACGCTAATTCAATGCTAAAGATGAAGACAACAAAGAATTCGAATATTTTTTAATTTTAGTTAGGTGAAGTACCAGACTTCACTGATGTATACTCTACACCATTCGCATCACCAAC